CCCCCCCCCCAAAAAAAAAACGCAAATTATAATATTGATCTAGGTAGAATTGAATGCTGTTCCTTTGATAGGTTTTTAATTTGTCGTTAACTCACACACATTAAATGGCCAGGGACAGTTTTTGTTCAGACTAGATGTGTCTTTGTGCACATCTATAAATCAAATACAAATTTGTTTCTGATGAAGGAGTGAGCAAAGACACATCTTACCTAAGTACAAAAACTATCCCTCCCCATTTAGAGTGCAGATGTTCGCATTTCTTAGAGAAATCCTCATTTAATAACAATAAAGCAGAATGTAGGATGGTACGAGAGAATGCGTTTCGCTGCATACTCACTCACACCCCTCTGGGTTTCCCGTCTACCGTGCTCCCCCCACGGGACGGGCTCCTGCGGCTAAAGGGTCAACTAGGTATACCTGGGGTCGCGGCCTGGCTGCTGCTGGACCCCTTCCTGTGGAAACATGGAAAAACCACCGGCTGTGCGCCTACCTCAACTCAAACTGGGTCGGAAGCGCAAAACAACCGGTGATTTTTTCCATATTTTAGCATAGGAAGACCCCTTCGGTGAGGTCCAGTGGGAGCCTGGCCGCGACCCCACGCGACCCCCGGTCCCTCGCCGCGACCCCAAAATTTCTTCTCGCGACCCCAAATGGGGTCGCGACCCCGAGGTTGGGAACCGCTGACTTAGACTTTACAACGAATTTCACCATATGTTAAAGTGAACCCCTGCATCACCTGTAGGTTAGGGTGAACTTTCATTAGTATAGCCTAGTGCGATTGTGCTTAGGGATCATCCCGAAAGTACGTCCGTCGTTCGCCATTACGAACCTGCAACGTTCAGCATATGTAAGCTCCCCTAGCGCCCGGCAGGTAGGCAACATTTCGTCTGCAGTGCATGCATGTACCGCGGGGTGGCCTACCCCGAGTCTTGCAGGCGCCGAGCTCCAGTAAATTGACGGATTAAGCTGAGAAAAACGGACGTACTTATTGGACGATCCCTTATATTGAAACAATGTCAAACGACTGGGAAATTGCCCTCAACGAAGTCATATCCCTCTTCCTTTTTTTTTTTGCATCAGTCACTTCTGAATCGGAGAGTGGAGAGTGGAGTGCGGAGACCTTTTCCTCCTATCATCCGCCCCGCGCACATGCCGCGGCGGCGAGCGTCGGTAGCTACGGTGGCGGCCGGCAGCGATCACCGTCGTGTTTGATGCCCTGGGGGGATTACCGGCCGAGGGGGAGGGAGAGGGGAGGGAAGGGAAAGAGCAGAGCAGGGGAGAAGGGGGAGGGGCCGGCGGATGTAGAGGCGTCACGCCGCAGCAATAGCAATAGCAATGACACTCCGGCCAATAGCGCGACAACTGCAATGCAACTGCACTACAATCAAGGCGGCTGACGTAGGGCTACGGCCGGCGCGTGACGGCCGCGACGACGCCGACGTCCTGACAAAGGGCTGTGTTCGAAAACGCGTTCGTGGCGGGGCGGGGCGGGGTGACGATGAAAGTGAAATGCATAGCGAAGGCCTGGAGGGCGAGCGGGGCTATGGGGGTCGGGCTGTAATACTATATAATGTCGCAACAACACGGCACAAGTGAAGCGGTTGTACACGTACACTACAGGGCGGGGCGGGGCGGCCATTGGCTGGTGAGGGCTCGTTACACCAGTATATGAATGAATTTGCACCAATGAGGGGCGGCGCAAGTGGAGTGCAGCAAGCTCTCTGAGTAATTTTGAACGAGGTTATACGCTCGCGCCGCCGCGTGGCGGTTTGTTTGACGCGCGAAGGTCGCGACAGAGAGTCGGGAGGAGGAGATTACATCTGGCGCGGCCAGGTCGAACAAAAAACGTGTGTAACATTTGTCACACATTTATATTTTTTTCTGAATTTTGCTTAACAGCGAAAATGTTAGTATTATAAGTCTTTGATAATAATTTTGTCACAGTAAACGTTTGCTGAAAGCTCGGCTGAAAGCAATAATTGTATCGGAATAACCCCCTTCCGGGGCAGTCGCTACGACGTCGCCGTCTCTTTGGTCTCCGTATAGGTAAAGTGTACCGGCCGCGATGCATGTAGACCGGCCTCAAGCCCCATTCACATGTTGCGCTGCAGCTGCGACGGGCCCGAGAAAAAATAGATGGAAGAGCTGCTGAATGGAGCGGGACATGTGTGGGGATGTGTGTGTGTGTGCTTGTGTGGGTCAATGTCCAGGACGGGAGGAGCAACAGGCCACGAGGTGGTGGGGGATTTGGAAGACGCAGCCTAGCGTGGCGGGGCGTGGCGGGGTGCGGTGGGGCGTGGCTGGGCGTTGGCGGGGCGCGGAGGGTCGCTGTTATCAGGGCCC